CCCCAAAACCCCAAAACCCCAAAACCCCAACGAGAAGAGTTTATTAAAAATTAGTTAGAAATTAAGAAGTTATTTTCTATTATATATGAGCAGAGTAGATTAATATAAGCATATGAATTCGTAGCATTTATTCATTATTTACTTTTAAAAGGAGCAGACTCTAACTTGAGAGGTCAAACTTGCTGTCTTTATTAAATTAGCTAGATTTATAACTAGCTTGGACTTTACACCAATTTTTGAGTAGTTTCATTTTCTGATTCATCCTAGTCTTCAGAATCACTCTCATCGCTGTTCTCTCCTTTTTAAGATTTTTAAGTGTAAATACTTTCGTTAGGTAACTCCTAAACAACATTTTTGTTGTTTTGTATATTATTGAATCTTCTATTGGCTGATCCATCTCTTAACTTTCTTTAATCAGAGAGATCTATATTTACTTTCTGGACTTAAAGGAGAAGGTTTTCATCTGGTGCCTTTTCCAAGAGTAGAAGTCCTTTGTAAGATCCTGTCTTATTTGTGAATCTGCTTAATGTATCTATACTTCCTATTCTCCCGATTCTACTACTCTATAATTTATTGTGAGAATGAACTTCACCATCTTTAGTGTTGAGGTTGGGATTGAAGCTTCCAAACATTGAGTCCTCGTCGCTGCTATCAGAGTTTAATTTTTTCTTATCGCTTGAAATGTCCTACTTCTTCTTCAGTCCTAGAGTAGTTTTTTTCATACCAGAATAGTATTAGATGTGTTGATAAGTTAAAAGTTTCTCGCTCATATCAACACCACCTAAATATGGACTTCTTACAATCTTTCTTGGAGATTTAGATCTTCTTTAACCAGAATAGATTTAACCATTTTAAGCAATCAATTATTGCTATAATAATTCTTGATTTTTCTTGATTATGGTAGTGATTATAACAGAAGGTGCTACCTCTGTGAACATTATTAATATCAGACTCAACTGAGGGTAATGCAAGTTTGTTTTGAGAAGAGTCCAGGCAAATAGTGAATCGACTAATGCTCTGCACAAAAATACCATTGATAGAAGAATAGTTATCGTTAGGATTCTAATATCCAATCCATTCAGGTCCTTCACTTGCGAAGGTTGCTATTTTTAAATTGAATTTGAAACAGCAGTTTCTAGTTTTGTTCCATAGTTAAGAATTGTGATTCCCAATATCATGAAAATAAGTCCAGTTAAACCTTTAATGGATTTGGAATAGTTAAAGTATTAATTAGCTTCCCACCAGTCTTAGGACTCATCTAATTTTTAATCAGCTCCCTCATTCACCTCTTTGAAATCTATATATATATTGATTAATACTGCTATATTAAAGTTTTGGTGTATCTTTCTTACAAGAAATGAGTATGAAAATGAAGGAGAGCAAGGCTAAAGTGTTAAATAATACCACGAATGGGATAAGCAAGTGTACCCTTAGCTTACTATAATTATTGGCGTATTTGGTGGAAGATTTGATAGAGTTCCCCAATTTAGTTGGACTATTTCTATTATCATCATTCTTATTTAATAGCCCATCTCTCAGTTGAGGGAAATAGTTCTCTTTTGAATTTTCTCCAGTTTTATTCTCCTTTTCAATCTCAATTGTGAGTTTAGCCAAGTAATAGGTGAATATAGAGAATGATATGACCATCAAGAATGTTGGAAGATCCCAAGCTACGATCGACGTCATTATGAGGATCCAATTATCTTTGGATATCGCAAGAAGAATCATGCTGAATGAGCGAACTATTTGATAAGCATAAGTTAATAAATAGTGACTTACATAATGAGGTGACAAATAAGCAGACAAAAAATAGGCCTTTGAATAGTTGACCTTAGCTTAAGTTACTAGATAATCCATTTTTGTTTCTGAATTTGAAATTCACTATTGCTTGCTTTAATATTACTTAGAAGGAGACAATAAATATAACGAAGCTTATTGAGTATAGAATAATCAGAAAGACTAAAGATCTACTAACTCTTTCATCCTCAGGCTCTTCTACCATTTAATAAGGGATACTGGTAGTAGAATTGGTCTTATTCAAAGCTGAGATGAATTCACTGACAGTCAAATTGTTTCTAGTTAGATTGGGCTGCATTTATATAACTTATCCTGATTATATTATTAATCTGAACTCAGAATATGATTAAGTTGAATTCAATCATTTAGCATGCTTAGATGTTGACTTGCTGTAACTGAATATTAATTCTATTCAGTGTCCTCATAGAAGCTGATATTTGAAAAGATTAAATCGTTTATTTAGAAATATTTGAAATATGAATTCTTCGATGACTAACCAGATCCACCAAGTCAGTGCTTAGTAGCAATATCAATTTTATAATCCTATTCAGCAAACATCTATGATGATGGATAAACCTGAGGAGCAGTATTTATACTAAAAAACTAATCAAACTGATTACTCTGCTCTCGATACTAATTTGAAATTGATTTAGGATATGCTAAACTAGCCTTTGCAGAACACCAATAATCACTCGACATACTAAAGTGCAAATGCATTCGGTAACTAAAAGAGCAGTGTTTCATCTTCTCAACAGTTTAATGGGTAGATGAGACAAATGAACGGAATTCATGATAATTAATTAATGGTCGATTAGCAAAATAATAACAATATGATTTAGACTCACATGTAATATCCCTGTGACTATATATTCTAGCAGGAAGAACCGCCAGTTGAATACAGATTAATGCAGTTTAATGAAATATATAAGAATAGAAAGCAAGAAGCTCAAATGCAATATAATTAACAGCTATATGGCTCTGTCGAGGGTTCTGTACATAACTCTTAAAATAATTTTTCACAATATCTGAGTAATAAGTAATAGAATAATAATCAGCCTCCAATAACTTTCTAGCCCTAAATAAATCCACTATCAGACAGAATTGTCTCCTCCCTAGAAAATAGAGTCGGTAAAGTATAGGATCGCCTTTATGATTAGCATAAAAAGCAGCAAGCTATAAAAAGCCAAATGCAAAGCTAAATTGTGAAAGATGCTAAAGAGAATGCAAAGCCACAAATATCTCAAAAGTCAAAATAGATGATGTCGTAAAAATCTAGTACTAATGAGCCCATCGAAGAAAGATTGATTAGTTTCAAAAAGAGGATTGAAGGTAAGAAGCATTAGCTAGAAGACAAATATAAAGAATAGTGCACCTTTAAGCCATAAATCAATGAGCATAGTAAAGTAAAGAGTGGTTATATAAATAGACCAAAAGACTTATTATATTAGCCGTTAAAAAAACAAAGTCTGCAAGTAAATAACGAAAGTGATGGTTCTAACTTTAGACCTAATCTAAACAAGAAAACTTTAGAAATAGTTGAAAAAAAGGTAAGATATCTACTTTATAATTTATGCCAATTAGTGTGAAGGAATGAGCGTCTATGATAGACTTACTTAGTCAGTTGAAAGACTCACAGATTCTACAAATTTGGCATCTGATCATTAGCTTACATTTGTACCTCAGATTAACCCTATTTCAGATGAGTTAGATAACAGAATGAAAATGGGATTTAGAGATGACACTCTAGGATTTGGAGCAGGCAAAGAGAGATGGTAAACTCTTTATGAACTTGGCTTAAAGAAAAAAGAAGACATGGAGATACTTCGCAAGAATTATCAAGAAATGAAAGAACTTGAAGAAAAATCTTGCACATTCAAGCCTTAAATATACTCCAAAGGAACTATCTATGATCCATCTACAAGAATGGGAGGAGATTCATGCGGAAACAAAGTTAGTATCTTTGACAGATCAAAGGCCTGGGCAGAAAATAAGCTCAAAAAAATTGAAATACTTAAAGAGCAATATGTTGATAAAGACATTGATGAGTGCACCTTTTAGCCAGCTCTTAATAATCATGATCTGAAATCACTTAAGAATCATAGAAGATAGATTAGTGTTGATTCTCTAAGGAATCATCAAGTTGATGAGGTTGATTAAGAATCAAGCGATGACTATCAATAGAGATAGCTAGATGAATACCAAAAATTGCAATAATCTTAGAATTATTACAATAAGATAACTGAAGTGGTTCAAGAGAAGAATGCTAAATCAGTAGAGAGATTTGTGAATAGGCTGTAAAATGTGAGACAGTAAAAAATAGAGCAGATTGAGGAGTAGAAAAAGCAAATAGGCTCAGGGAACTTGTGGAAAAACTAGATAACTGTGCCTAAAGAGCCTAAGTTCAACAAGAGAAATGAGAATAATAGATCAAGCACTCTCAGCAATAACAATAATGGATATCAATCAGCCAGAGTCAATTCTGTAAGCAGAGGATACGGGGGAGCAGCAAGAACTTCTTAGAATCTATCTCAGTTGATAGATTAATTTGGCTAGAAATCAGTTAAAAATATAGAAACTAAGAACAAAACATCTTTCAGCAGTGGCCTAGATTAAAGCTAAATTTCTTAAAGCACAACTAACAAATTCAAAAGAAATAATACATTAAGAGAAGATGGTAGCATGATCAAGAATGAGCCAGTCAAGTTTGAAGCCAACATGGAGTTCGACTCATGCCTAAGTCTTTTGCACTAACACATTCAGTCTCTTGATATTTGAAAAATCCGCCTAGATCTCAAAATTTATGCTTATTAACCTTTAATTATCCTTGCCAATTAATTAGATTTCTAATTTACATTAAATTTCTAAGCTCATTTATAATTATAGCACTTGGGGTTTTGGGGTTTTGGGGTTTTGGGG